TTGTTTACGATTAACAGAGACTCAAGGAGCAATATATACAGAAGCAATACAAAGGCTCTTACCTTTAATGGTAGCCTGACATGCGACAACTTCAATACCGGGGAATTCGGGAAGATTCACTCTATAGAAGGAATGGCACTTTTTGATCCCCAAAAGTACCCCTCCTCCACGTGAATCCTCACGATCCAATCGAATAATGTTAAAATCATAAAAAGGGAGATTAATTTCTGAAGAGAGCCATGTTTCACAGAGGGCAAATGCATCGCAATTATTGTTATGGACTGTCGTGAACTCAGATCGAGGTTGCAAGCCTCGATCTTTTGTCACTGGAACGACGCCAGCCAAACCATCCCGCATTGATCAGCTACGTCCATCCGCTTTAAAATTAGACACAAGAATGCGAGACGAGCAACTAGCCAGCCTGAATCAGCTCGATGAACCAGTCATCCATCCTTTTGCACTCTTATATCCCAGAGCATCATAACAATCATTTGTTCTTTCTCCCTCGTCTGATGTCTGATGTCGTCTCGAAGCCGATCTTCGTTTTCCATGACACGAATCACAACTCACTCATATTCAACTGCTCTCGGCGCGTATGAATCGTCCAGTTATGTCATGTGTGTCGACTCCCAGTGTTGCCAAATGCACTTTGTCGACTTCACACGAAATTAGAGTAAATAAATTTTTATTTTATATCAACCAAGGTTGCAAAGACTCATTTCAGCTAAAATAATGTTTTTCGGAATAATAAAACCAAAAGATGGTATGATGGCATGTTTTACTTGTAACTTACAAGAAGAGGTTACAAAGTATGCGTTGGAAACATAAAACCTGTAAATTTTGCTTTCTATGAGTCACAATCAGCGATTTGCTGATCGCTGAGTGAGTGAGTGAGTGAGTGAGTGAGTGAGTGAGTGAGTGAGTTTGTGAAAAATCGCTGATTGTGACTCTCATGAAGTGAAATAAACAGGTTTAATATGTCAAACACATTCTTTGCAACCTCTTCTTGTATTCTACCAATTCAAAATTTGATCATGGCATCTAATTATTTCATATTTTAGAAAAACATTGTTTTAGCTAAAATGAGTCTTTGCAACCTTGATATCAACCATATCACATACACTACAATGGACTAAATACTTGAACGAATCTAATTTCGGAATAAGACTTCGACAATTCCACTGAAGAACAGTGATCAAATTCCCGACCTCGTTTGGAAAATTATCCATCGAAGGAGATGATAGCTGCAAGAAGGGGCCATTTTGAAGTCAATTGCTTCAAGAAGGATTTCACAGTGGGAAGCAATATGAGGACAATGCTTTTCAGAGGATCAGAAATGTTGAGGTTTTTGAGAATACCGTCCACAATGTCATCAAATGAGAACAACCCAGATGAAGAAGGGGTTTCTGTTTTTAAAATTGGGGCATCAGGGGTTTTGGATGTCCCCGGTAGAGGTGGAAAATCCTGGGTAAAGTCAGTTCTGCGGAATCCAGGAGGAGTAGAAGTCTCCTTTTTTCCACCACTCCTTGATTTGGGCAAGCTGATTTGGGGTTCTTTATTTGCAACAATCGGTACTTTTGAATATAAAAACCAATAAATGATCCATAACTAATTTAAAAACACTCCTTAAAATATACCCAAATGATCCATAAAAAATCTGTGAAAATCCCTTAAAATGTGTGAATAATCCATAAAAAATAAAACATGATCCATATTTTCAGTAAAATTTAGCAACACAATTGTAAAAATGTACCGCTAAATATCTAATGAATGAGCATTGAAATTGTAAGAATTAACCATACACATATTGTAAATGATCCATAAACATTCAGCAATGAACCATAAACTAATGAAAATGATCCAATGAAAATAAAGTTTGCGCTCTTAAAAATATAGGCATGATCCATAAATTAGACATATACTGTTCATGTTTTGGACACTAACTTTTTGATTTTGTTCCATAAACCTTGAAATGATGTTCCATTGTTTTTTGAGTTAGAAGTGCGAAGCGACGGGTAAGCGTCTATAATTAGCTTCCATAAAAAGCTTCTATAATAATCCTATTAACACTCTGAACACGATGCCTCTGGTCAAATGTGTAACGGCAAACTTGTAATGTTTGAAACATCATAATTCAGCTATTTATTGACGAATTTGAAATCTATGGGCGCTACTTGTTTCCTTTATTTAACGTCGGTCTCTGTTCCGCAATCTGGTGCCAATCACCGACGGACATCGATTGACATCCATTGACGGAAATCGAATGTGCAGAAATGCAGTTTTCACACCTGCGTAGGATATTGCACCCATTCAATCAAACACACATGGGCCGAGACCAACGGCTTTACTTCCCTTCCGAAGGAAGACGTGGCCAGAGATTTTTATGCCTCAGAAAAATCCCACCGACCTCGGCTGGGATTGAAACCAGACCCATTGGGGTGAGGAAGCAGTCACACTTTCCACTACACCATCGGAGCCGGCCATGGGCGCTAGTTGAAACTTAAGACTTTAAAGATTTATTCGGTATGAATAGGTTTAAAATCTATTGATAATTTGCTGAGTAATGACTTTTCAAACATTACCAATTTGCCGTTACACATTTTACCGGTTGCATCGTGTTTGGAGTGTTAAGAAGCATCCTAGGGAATATTTTTTAGAAGCTTCTTTTAGATGCTTATTCTAGATGCTCGCTAGAATGATGCAAAATTTGACTTTTTCGCTCCACAGTGCTTCAATGGTCGTCCTGATTAGCCTCTCAAAGTTACAATTAATTTGGTTAGAAACAGACTTTGCACAAGCGTAAATTATTATGGAAAATCTCAACTTTTTGTTCATTGCCTTCTAGTCTTTTTCCATATTGAGCTGTAAAACACTCAGATAGGCATTTCTCAGAGGCTACAACTTTGCTGAAGATTGTTTGTATGTAAAACGAGACAGAAAAAAGTTATTAATTATTTAAGAGATTGGTAAACTTATGACATGATCAAGCAGCTGCTCTGTAAGCAACACTGTATTTTGCTACTAGGTATGATTTGTGTGTCCTATTCAACGCCCCAGAAACACCAATGTTGTCTGCTGAGCAGTTGATTGAGCATGATCATAAGACATCAGCACATTGAACCATTGATAACTTTCGATTTTTGCATTTAATCAAAAAGTGGTCTTGAGCAAAGTTGTAGTTGGGAAAATTTCCTACAAGTACAGTTGAAAACTTTTGAAGCAGACCGATATGGTGAATAGATTGATAGACATGAACAAAAATATTGGTTTTACCATAGTAATTCCCATACAAACTTCAAATGGTTTGTGCCATCTCAGTATTTCACCAAATGGGATTATTAACATCACATCCACCGACATTTTGTTTTATTCAGCATTGTTATACAGCATTTATTCAATATGTATGCTTATTTGTGACTTTAAATTGTTTGTTGGGTGGAACATCCGGACTAGGTCATTGGCCACTAGTCAGTAGTACATTGGTGAAGTATTCGAAGAATCGTTTCGTACGCTTCAATTTGAAGTGTTTTGATTTATCGCATGGCCATTTTTATGAGTAAGTTGATTGCGGCCACCGGAACCGGTACCCGACACATCTGGGGTAAGTCACTAGAATATTGGCAAAACATTCGAAGTATTGATTTATACGTATTTATTTGATGTGTTTTGATGTGTTGCATGAGAAAGTTGGTTGTGGCCACCGAAACCGGTATCTGGAACATCTGGGTTAGGTCACATGCAGGAAGAAACCATGATTTTAGATGAGTGAAGAGCATACCGGTACTACGGCCAAACCTGACTTCATTCGGCATCGATTCCTTGTGGCCAATCGCGTCAAAATCGGTTCTATATACCAGAAACCAAAAATTAAGACTGACAAACAATTTGACTACAAAAACATATAGATTTGATCACGAAACCCATATACTGTCCTTTATTTAACGTCGGTCTCTGTTCCGCAATCTAGTGCCAATCACCGACGGACAACGATTGCCATCCATTGACGACAATCAAATGTGCAGGAAGGCAGCTTCTACACCTGCGTATGATATCGCACCCATTCACAACATACGTGGGCCGGGACCAACGGCTTTACTTCCCTTCCGAAGGAAGACGTGACCAGAGATTTTTATGCCTCAGAAAAATCCCACCGACCTCGGCTGGGATTGAACCCAGACCCATTGGGGTGTTAGAAAGCAGTCACGCTTACCACTACACCACCGGCGCCGGCAGATCACGAAATCCATATTCAAATATAATTTGAAATAAGGTTCAATATGACCAAATTGTTTTGAATCACTAACATATTAAAGGTTTTTAAGGGAATTAAAAATAAATTCCTTAACCCACTGCAATAGCTCTTCAAGGATTACATTAAGAGGTTTAATTTATCTTAATATAAAAAAGTGTTCTTTAAATATGGGGAAATGGATGTAATGTCTGCCTAAATGCCCCTAATTTGGGCCTATACATAAATTCAGCAATCGACTAAATTTTCAATAGCGACTAAAAATATCCATTAGTACCGTCCCAATGACGCGTTCATCTAGATGAAGTTGATAAATTGCAGATTTTTAGCGATGGACCCAATCTTAGACCAACATTAGAGCTATTGCGTCTATCACATTTATTTTAATTTTTAACAGCTTTAATTGAAATTCATGTCGTTTTTACTAACAAAACATGATAGAAAGCAAAGCTTATAATATCCCAACACATTTTTATTTTCAGTGTAAAATTAATACAACGTATGCTTAGGGATTTCCTCCCTCAATATAGGGCTGTTTCAAGCATACATCCTTGAATACCAAACATGTTGCGGTTGTGGTTAACCTCTTTCAATGCATTATGACAGCTTCCCTTTGCTGCTGTATAGAATTTTGAAGTGACCTAAAATTTATTTTCCACCTACGCTCCATCCCACCATGGATGCATACGACTGATGCACTTTGCAAATATATGTACACACTAACTAACGTGCCCTTCAACTCCTTCCACAGCAACATGGGTCGGCGGCGGTTACATCAACGGCACAGCGGAGGCAGTCTACACATCCGGCCTGATCTGGTGTCAGGCACCGTTCGGATATGCACTCAGCTTGGTTTTCGGTAAGTTAATATAATTGTTATCAGAATACTCCATTTCGGCGAAACATGAAACTGTGCAAATATACAAAATTAATTTCACCCGGGAAATTTAATTCTATTTTATTTTCCCGTCGCTCGCTAGGTGGAATCTTCTTCGCCAATCCGATGCGAAAACAGGGTTACATCACCATGTTGGATCCGCTGCAGGACAGCTTTGGAGAGCGCATGGGTGGACTGCTGTTTTTGCCGGCCCTGTGCGGTGAGGTGTTCTGGGCCGCCGGAATCCTGGCTGCCCTCGGTGCCACCCTGTCGGTCATCATCGACATGGAACAGGCGACTTCGGTCATCCTGTCCGCGTGCATCGCGGTGTTCTACACCCTGTTCGGAGGGTTGTACTCGGTGGCTTACACCGATGTCATACAGCTGTTCTGTATCTTCATTGGGCTGTGGATGTGCATTCCGTTTGCTTGGACTAACGATCACGTCAAAAGCTTATCGTCGATGGACGTCGACTGGATCGGTGAAATTGGCGAGGGCTATCACTGGTATTATGCCGATTATGGACTGCTGTTGGTTTTTGGTGGTATTCCATGGCAGGTGAGAGTGTTTTGGCGGCTTTTGAATATCGAATATGTTGGATGAGTTTTTTTTTCGTTCTACCCAAACAGGTTTATTTCCAACGTGTACTTTCGAGTAAAACAGCTGGACGGGCCCAAATCCTATCGTACGTGGCTGCTTTTGGTTGTATCCTGATGGCCATCCCACCGGTTTTGATTGGAGCGATTGCGAAGGCAACTCGTAAGTACCCTACAAACAGGAGATTTTCGCCTATCGTACACTCAATTGAAATTCTATTCCACAGCTTGGAACGAAACCGCCTACTCAGGTCCCTGGCCGTTGACGGCTCAGGAGACAAGTATGATCCTCCCGATGGTGCTGCAGTACCTGACACCGGACTTTGTGTCGTTCTTCGGGCTGGGAGCCGTATCGGCTGCCGTTATGTCATCCGCCGATTCGTCAGTATTATCCGCTTCGTCCATGTTCGCCCGGAACGTGTACCGGCTTATCTTCCGCCAGCGTGCCTCCGAAATGGAAATCATTTGGGTGATGCGCGTATCGATCCTGGTGGTGGGCATCCTCTCCACCATAATGGCACTAACGATACCTTCCATCTACGGCTTGTGGTGAGTACCCCATGTCATGTTCTTTTATGCTGCTGGGGTGTGCTTTTGTTTGGGAAAAGTGCTTTTGTGCTATAGCTTTAGCTGATGCCACAATACAATAAATGGTCATACGGAAGCTTCGTGCTGACACATCGAAACAAATGGAATCTCTTTCGTTTAATTTTAATGGAATCACATGGGCAGCAGTATATCGCATCCATTTGTATTTAATACATATCCATTTATGTGAATATTCAGTTGTCAAAAGCAGCAGCCTTTGTGTGCTGGGGAAATAAGATTCCATTTTTGGTGATGGTGAATGCCGAGGTTTGATTAATGAATTGGGACCAACATGAGGATGAAATCAGTCCAGCGGAATAATTTGACTCTGATTTGAAATTGATACACGATGTAGGTTGCGTATATTCGTGGGCGTTAGGGAAGGTCCAACAATTATGTCACGCAAATTTGGCCCATTTTCAACCTTTGTCACATTTTTTGTATGGACCTTATATTTTTTTTTGTATGGCTCGTCACAGTTTCCAAAACCCCCTCCCCCCTAAAAGTGTAACATTATTAATGGACGATCCCTTATAAGTTTTATAAAATGTTTCATTAGCTGCTTTCATACATTTTAGGGAGAATCAGGCAAAATGGACCTCTTACTGCGATCTGCACAAAATGGTATAGGTGTCTTGAAGGACTTAAAAATAGCATAATCTAACTAAGTACGATTACGAGCCCGTTTTTTCCCACAGTGCACTGTGGCATTGACCTAAGAAATTGAGTAACATACCATTTCTTTGAACACTTTGTGTTACGTGGTGTAATGTAAGTCTAACCCGTCACTTGGACCTATCAAGCACATAATTCATTCATTCAGCAATAATACACAATAGTAATGTAAACATTAAATTTTGGAAACTTTTCTTTCAGTGTAGTTTTTGAAATATTTCACGAACCGCTGAAATGTTTGACTTACACACTAAGATTTTTTACAGAATACTGTAATTTTTTACCGAATATGGAACAGCTGAACTTTCGGTAATGCATTCGGTAATTTTTCAATTTATAATCCGTTCGGTAAATTTTCTTAGCTTATGAGTTGTCAAAATTTACTGACCTGCGGACTGTAAGTTTTACTTAACGATCAGCCATAGCGTTCAGTATATGTTTTACCGAATCTACTGTACTTTTTTTTCAGAAAAAATCATAAAAATTAAAATTTTATTAATTAGGAGAAATGACGGCTTCGGCATGCCAGACTATTTTCGGCAACCCAAATTGAAACACTATTTTCACTGGATTTTCTTACGAAAACACTTCGCTGAATGCATGCAAACGATTCTTTATGCTTTCAGCTTCAATTTGACTATATTTTTACCACTGAGAAAAAGTAATCTAGCAAGGTTTTCTTGAAATGAAACACACGCACTACAAATTGTAGCTGATTTCGAGTTGCCGATAATAGAACAGCAGATTTACATGCAGTTCAAATGGAACGGTTGCCGAAGAAAAACTGCTTGCCGACAATAGTCGCTCTCACTAGAGAAGTTTGGAGCTTTGTAAAAGCGTTTCAAAACAGTTTTTGACAATTATTTCGACTGAAATTGTTAGAGCAGCTGACAGCAAAAGAATGTAAGCAAACCAATACTACATATGTGTGCGTTCCTGAGAGAAAAAGGATATAGAAAGATGGTCGCTGCTTAGGTTGCCGAGAATACGTAAATTCCCCTATATTTTTAATAGGCATTTCCATATTGCGTTCGTAAAAACATCATAAAAAAATCAGTAATGACTCCGGACTCAGCAAACCGTGGACTTTTGAGCCGAACTCAGCACTTTTGAGGAGGATATTGAGTTGCCTAACATTCATGGCGTCTAAAAGAAATTGACCCAAAAATGAAAACAAATTAAATTTTCGGTGTAAATTTAACACAATCTAGCAAAAAAAGTAAAGTCCTTACGTTACACAACATAAAACCGAACACTCAACATCGAAATGGCAGCAAAGGTTGTTTTTGACAGTACAAAGTTTACAAATCTGTTCAGTAAGTTTTACTGAAATACTGTACTTTATTGCTGTTTGTTTTTGTAAAAGATTATTTTTACAGTACATTCGTTACAAATTTTACAGAATTGCTGAATCGCAGCCATTTACAGTTTCAATCAGCAAATTTGATTTGCAGTTTTCGGTAAATTTCTGAAAATTACGGAAATTCAGCAGTTTTTGAAAATTGGTAAAATAATATTGATTACAAAGCATTCGGTAAAAATTATATTTCACCGAACAAATCCAGCAAAAAAAGTACCGAACAAGATTTAAGAAATTTGGTGTGTAAATGACAGCTGAAGCTCTCCACTTTATACGCCTTTTTAATAGAAACTAAACGATCGATTCAAGCTCTGGTGATGAATAGGAAAACGTCAAAAAGAGTGTTGTGAGCAGAAATTTCTACCGTGAGACAGGAAACGGAACACTTTTTTACTTTTCCTGATAAATTGATTTATCAGAGATGCTCCAAAACTTGATCTACAGTTGAAAAATTTAATTCTGTAACGTTTTTGCAAAGATCCTGCTGGTGTTCAGGAATATTTTTGTTGAAAAAAAATGGAAAATTAGAAAACTGCTTTAGTGGTTATGATCTTCCGGATTTCTTGTGTGTGAATAGTTAAGGTACAAATCAATTCAGATCTGTGGAAAATCGTACAATAAGACGATGACCGATGGAAATCGGCAAGATATTAAATTAAAAATGCTTTAATTTGCGTTGTGAAAAATAGTTATTCTGATGTAAACAAACGGTTTGGTTGACGTTTCTTCTCGAACTCGCGTGGCGCACTTTACGTTGGTGGTGCATTAAAAAGGCCTATTTCGCAAAGCCCTACAGTGAAAGTATGGACGTCTGTCAAAAGTTGTTCCAATCGAACCGTCAGAATGCACCGCTTTGCTCGATTGGATCAGCCTTTTCAGTTTTGTGGTGATAGTCGTCCACACTTTAACCACAAACGAAGTGACAGACGACTAACTGGCGAAGAAATCCATTTAAATAATGTGGTTCACTGTAATAGAATTTTCTTGGAAGCTTATGCCATCATCCACTAGATGGGTTAGTTTTTTTGTTTTGATTTGAACAAAGTTGATTTTGTGTACAATGATTCTTTGACAGTGTACAAAGAGTGCGTATCATTTTGTCATTTTTTTATGCATTTCAGTTTTGAGTAGAATGAAAGAGATAGAACCAAAACATTCTAGTACATTTGGTGAAAATGCTAGTTCAATCTAGTAGTAGTGTTGCCATGTGGTACAATCCAGTAGTAGTGGTGTTGCCATGTGGTACACTGAAAAATTGCAATAGCAGGTGCGTCACCAAAGTTTTCGAGCCGCTCCGTCTGTCACTTCGTTTGTGCTTTAACTAGAGGGTTTTATTACTCCGTGGTACAACATGTTTACATTCTTGTTCACTTTGATAAAATTGCGTCGAATCAAGTGGAAGTAGTGATGTCCGATTTTCCCAATCGATTATTTTTTTTTATTGATAGTAATCGACATCGATTAATCTACAAGAAATTATCGATTAATCGAAATAATCGATTAATTTTTATACTATCCAATAACAAAAAAACAACATATTTTAGAAGGTGTTTTAACTTGCTGTAGATTATTCATCCTTGGATCATATGTAAATTATTGTTTCGAGATATTACAATTCAATGAAATACACTTTTACTCTTTAACGCTTATTAACATTTTTATTAGAAATATAGTGAGAGAAAAGACAACTTGCATCTTTACGACGAATAAAATACACTTCAGGGGAAACATGTCAGAAGGGTACAACTCGAAACGTAAACAATGACTTTGAACGTCGATTTCTCTTGAATGACTACATACCCACTCAAACTAACTAAATCATCTGACAGAGAAAATGTTTGTTCTATGATTAGATTCCGTGGGTGTGTGGTCATTCAAGAGAAATCGAAGTTCAAAGTCATTGTTTACGTTTCGAGTTATACTGACATGTTTCCCCTGACTTACTCAAACCAAACATCTTCTCCAACAGATTGTAGGAATAATATCATGTTGAGATGAGGGCCAGACAAATGGTTTCTCAGCTTTGTCAGGCTTCTGCATTCATTTTCCAACAGATGTCACTGCTGTTGTTTGCGGTGACATCTATCGGAAACTACGCAAAATCTGTTTTCCGTTAATTGTTCACAGAGGACAGTGCAGTGCAAAACATGTCTGGTACCTCTACATATGATTTAGATTAACATCCAAAGTCCCTTCTTTTCACACATTCTGCCCAGAAAATAGCTCACTTCTCACAGATTTTTATGAATGGGGTTGGGCTGAAAGTATCTTTTGTGCAGAATATATAAAAAATGTGGGACTTCAGATGTTAATCTAAATGCATATATAGAGGTACCAGACATGTTTTGCAGTGTCATGTCAGGTACTCTATGTTGTTGTCGGTGAGGGGGAAATCAGAAATCAAATGTCATCAAAATACATGGCATGGCGAGATATTGAGCTCGTGAGAGAGAATTTTCTTTCTCAAATTTTAAATTTTTTGTGCTCTGGGGACTGGTTGTAAAGCGGTGCATGGGAAAAAAAAAATATTTAATTCTAGCTTGTTTAACAAAATTCCCAGAAAAAAGTGAACGACAAAGTCTTTGAATTATTTTTAAAAATACCTTAAACGAATTTTATCCCGGATGGGTAAACTATCACACAAATGGTTTGGATGATACCCCGAACACGTCGTTAAGCTCTCTTTTATGGTTATTTTTATTAGGGATGTCATCAACTTCTTTTTACTTGAATATGCATCAAAAGCGTATTATTTCCACTTATACAAATTTCTATGTGGGGATTTTTATTACATACTACCAATGGGACAGCGCCATCTGCGTGAAAAATAACCTTGACTAAATGGTTCATTGTCTGATCTGCACGGCGAATGAGAACGACCCAAATTTGAGTTTAGTTCACTCATAATCGTCAAAAGTGCAGGAACTCAGCGATGAGTAAATTTGCCTCATGTTTTCCCAGGTTTTTCCAGGATCTTCCAGGAAAAAATTCCCGAATTTGAGAAAAGTAAAGATTGGATTCACTTAGTCTATTGGTACTACTCCGAGACTGAATAAAATTTTCGTCAATTTCCTCATTTTTCGGCAGATTTTTTAGGTTTTCCACAGGAAACCATGAGACAAATTTTACTCATCGCTGAGTTCCTGCACTTTTGGCGAGTATGAGTGAACTAAACTCAAATTTGGGTCGTTCTCATTCGCCGTGTGCTTTAGAGAATAGACGTTCTGAACTTCAAGTTGGAATGGAACATTGTTTAATCGATGCTCTGTTGGGTTGGTGGTACACTAAAATAAATTCAATTCCTACTTCCAATGAAAATTTTAATAATCGTGCAATAATCGAAGCCAATTAATCGATTAGCAGATAATCGAGGCATTGAAAAATCGATTAAAAATTAATCAATTATTTTAACAGATTAATCGAGTAGTAATCGGACATCACTAAGTGGAAGTACGCAAACGCATTTTGTACGAACGGTAGCAAAATCCTACGTTGTCGGTTCGCGATCTCACCAAAAAGCTAAAACTGCCGAAGAGTACCGTGTTTAGTGTGTGCAAATCGTTTGACCAGCGCTTAGCTGTGGATCGGAAAGTTGGAAGCGGAACAAATCGAAAAGTATGCTCTCGACAAATGAACTAGAAGGTGGTAGCCATTATTGAGCAACATCCAAACCTATCAGTTCGTAATGTGGCTCGCAAAGTTGGAAAATCAAAATCATATGTACAAAAAGTGAAGCAGAGGCATGGGCTGAGGGCGTACAAAGTAAAAAATGTGCCCAAACGTAATGATAAGCAAAATTTCGCTGCAAAAAGTCGTGCTAAAGAGCTTTGCACCCTGAATATATTGGTACAATTAGTTTTTCCTCGGCTTTCATTCCGCACGATTCGTTTCTTTCGTTTAATCAATCACCCTTGTAGTGACGTCAAAAAGATTGTTTCAATCGGCGCTTACATATGAAATTTAATGTGGATTATAGAATTTTTCGTATGTTATCAAAATTTATGAATGGTTTGTCACTAAATGTTGAATTAATTTATTGATTATTGAATTATCACATTGTATACCATGAAAAAGCAGCCTGTTTGTGAGTTTTTGCCTGTTTTCAAGTAAGGAGTTATCATAAAAAAACAAATCACCAGCTGGTATTTCCCGGCGACTTAACAAATAAATAAAATCAAACAAAATCATCATGCAGAACTAGCTAGGATTTGATTTACTTCATATTTCACAAAATTGCTTTCGAGTGTTAAGACATCGTCTCCCGCAAAGTTTACATTTTTCCCTCTACCAACACATACATCAGGGCTAGATAGATCTCCACAGGATCTATAGAATCCACGCATTTTCAAAAAACCAAAATGCACAGCATTACGAAAAGAGTTCAGGTTTCGACCAATAGCAGATAGATTTTAATTCTAAGCAAGTCAAACGATTGGAAATTTATCTACCAATCGGCTAAATGAACACTTAGTTAATTTTCAATAGGTCACTATTTAAAAATACCAAATGTCCAAGTTTTGCAATGGTGATCAAAATTATCATCGAATGTCTGAAAACAGCGCATTCCCTAACACAGACTTAAAAATCGAATTCGATGCGGTCCCACTGAACGGTGCTCATTCAATCACCGTAAGTGGTGGTGTCCAGTCCAGCAGCAGCAGTAGTAGTAGCAGCAGCAGGAGTGCTTTCAACAACAACAACAACAACGAAAGGCTGCCTGGAAGCAGCGAGCTGCAGAGCTCATATGAGCAACCACAGAGAAGGAGGAAAAAGTCCCACCGCTAGGCTAGGATCGGAATCAGTGGCTCGTCGTGCTCAGCTCAACCATCACTACAAAACGGTCCTATTCAGGACCACCATAAACTTGTTAAGAGTATTATTTGGACATTTGTCAAGTTCATCAGTTCCCGCAAGCAGTTAGCTATCAAGGCTCAACCTGGTCTCTATAGAAGGTGTGGAATTGTAGGCCCGAATGTATTGGTGAAAGTAATCATCGTCCGACCATTTTCCAGAACACGCTGGTCTCAAGTGTTAAAAATCCATACAGAATTTGAGAGAAGTGGAAATCATTCGCTTTGGGGGTATATTCAGTCCCCAGAAAGCCAATAAAATCAAATTTGTGAGAAAATTAGCTCTCACAAGTTCAATCTCTCGAAGTCGTCCCTCCTTTTTTACATATTCTGCACAAACGATACTTTCCGCCCCGCCCCATTCATATAGTTCTGAAGGAAATCCTGTGAGGGGTGAATTGAATACACTTTAATACCAAAATGCACAAAACTTAAAAATTCATAAATAACAAAAAATCAAAATACACCTTTTAAAGTCGGGTAGATGTATCGAAAATACTCAAGTTGACAGTCTCTTGGATTCTCGTCATCAACTTTCTCTTTGAAATAAATACTACAAATTTGATACGCTTACAAATAAAAAACGCAAAGAGTTAAGATAATTGATGATTGATCAATTAAAAGAACTTCACTTGTTCACATTTTTTCCGTCCACTAGCGGTCCTACGTCAAGCTTCCGTACGTGCCCCTACGCACAGACCCTTCTACTTTTTCTTCGTGTGGTTTTGACGAATATGAGTAGGTCTTACTCCAATTTGGGTTGTTTAGAAATAGCATGCAACAATTCTGCAAATTTCACGGCAAATGAAAATAACACATTTTTTAGTACCATTCACTCAAACTTGCAAAAACGCAAGTCACTCGTAGAATGAGTAACTTTTCCTCAAATATAAGTAAATGTCACTCACATTTGAATGAAATTAACTTATGTATGAGTGATATTTACTGAGAAAAAATTTACTCATTCTATGAGTGACCTACGATTTTTTTTCGAATTTGAGTGAACGGGATTCAAATATGAGTCAGATTTATTTACCATGTTGGCCCTTCGATAAACTATCAAGACGCACAATGCATTGTAACATTGATCGATTCTCTTCGTAGACTTTTTCTTTCGTTAATAGCTTGCACAACAGTTTCATGCTGTGTGTACCGTATTAGATGCTAGGAAATAGCTTCTTTTATCGAAGTTATGTGTTGAAAATAGCTGGAAGTGTCTATACATGGCCGTGGGGATGCAAAGAGAAAATCTATAAATGTCTGTCAATGTTACTTAGGGTTGATGCATATATTATGTCACACTCTAAGGAGGGAGGGGGGTTCTAAGATTTTGTGACAAGCAATGCATTAGGTATAGGAAAAGCGTCACGTAGGGGGGAGGGGGTAATTTTTTGCTCGATTTAGCGTGACATAATTAATGCATGGGCCCTTAGGAGCTAATGCATTGTTCGGCTTGCCATCACTTGACTTGACAGTTCGTTATATGTGGGTCGTGAGATAATGTATTAGGATTTTATTTTTATTCTAAAAGCATCATGATTTATGTTGTCTGGATCAACCGGAAAGTAAACACTGTCTCTTTCTTCCTCATCAGTTCTTACGCGAGAAGTGAAAGTGACGTCAATGTGGTCACGTATGAATTATAAGAAGTGAGAAGATGCGCGATTTAAAATGCCGATCCTTTGTAGCTCTAGGACGAAGTTGCACTCATTTATAGACCCAATTTGACATTACATCCACGTACCTGGAACGTTTTCATGTTAAAATTGTGAGTTTTACAATTTTCAGTCGTTCTTAATTAATATCCAAATAATAAGAATCTCTGAACTTATATGTTGACAGTGAAATATCGACTGTAGCTCAATTATTACATAAGATAAGGCATAAAATGTCATTGAAGGCTTCATATTAGACCAAGGTTAGGGACATATACCCTACCTTGAGAACCGCTCTATTAAAGTAATCAGTGGATTTGTTACACCACGCGGCCTTACTGTTTTCCCCAAAAGGGTCTTTGCACAAAGTTTCACGTGTCCTGTGCTTTTCGAAACGAAGGACCGTGCCGAATGAAAGGCCGCAACGTTTTCTCCCATAAAAACGGGGAGCGAAAAGCACGCCGCATCGTTTGGTCAGACCAAAGGCCACGTGACATTTTGAAGAAATACCCCAATAGTGATGGCATAACCTTCATATTTGCATTTTTAGCTGCTCCGTAATATTCTAACAGTATTTGCATTTCCATCAAATCTAAATATTGTCTTTCAGCATTGTATACTCATATTCATCGTTTTCTCCTTTCCCTTCACAGGTCAATGTGCTCCGATTTGGTGTACTGCATTCTGTTTCCTCAGGTGAGTGCTTATCTTTGTTCTGCAGCTTTTATATTGAAATGTTTGGTACTGACCGTTAGAAAAGAAAGATTGTTCGTTTTACCAGCACAAAAATGGCAATGCTTTCGTTCTATCAACCATAAATAAATAAGTATGCATTACGCTTCAATTTTATTTCTTCGAGCACACAGCGATCAACTCTCGATTTTTTTTTCTACACTCTATTCTATCCATTAATTTACATTAGGAGCGAACAGTCCATTATGTATCCTTGGGGTAAAATGGACCCCACGCGGTTTTTCGTTGTTTTCTTATTCTAAGATGTTTTGTGCCAGGATTCTAGTTCAAGTACTGAACTAGCAATGCTGCTCGTTAAATTCACGTATTGGCAATCGGAAAGCTATGAAAAACAGCGCGGGGCAATTTTACCCCAGGAGTGCGTTTTAGACCATCCTACCCTACTTGTGTTGTTTTTACATAACTTTTTCTTCGGGTGAGAATACGATCCGAGTTCTAGTGAACGGTGTGGCTCCGTTTTCAATGTCTGCCCCGGTATGCTGAAACTATAAGGATATACATCGATGCTTGCTCGTTCGCCTTCATTGGGTGGGTGGTTCGGAGTGAATGATTTCAAGTATACTAAGTGGGTTGTTCGGGCTGTTGGAACTTTTTCTTTTTTAGCATTACTGGAAGTGCTTTCGGAGATGGGTTGCTGCTAAATATTTTAAAATAACTTGAATCTTATCGTTGATGACGTTGATGTAATGTTATTTGTAAGATCGAGAAAGTTTTGATAGGAAATTCGGACAATTGTAAACCTGATGGCAACCATACCAAACACGAAATATCACTTATATTAGCAAAAGCAAAAGGCGGCAATCGCGAGAAAATTCTGTTTAACTCTTCTAGAACCAAGCTAAAAATTAATTCGGCTCGCGCTTTTTTCATATTACATATCTTGGATTCTATTTAACCGTTTCTATGTTTTATACCGTTGGAAAGGTTTAACTTTTTTCATTGATATGTTGATACCTTTTTTGTCATTACGCTGTAAAATCCAGTTTATTTTCCCACATTTTTTTTCAGATTCCAATATTTTTCAGTAGCGCAATTTAAAAAAAAGCACTCTACTAGATAGTTTTATTAGCTTCCAGCGAAAAATACACAAGGAGAAATTAATTAGTTTTAAATTTGTTAAAACGGCTTGTCTACCGACTTGACAAAAATTGAAAATCGTAAACTTTAGCTAACAACCACCATGTGACATGACCAATTGAACGATCATAAAAAAGAGGAACTAGTATCCTTTCCACCGATAAAAAATATCAGATATCCATTGAAAATTACCGAACATATTATAAAAATAGTGAGAAACGTGATGTGGTTTGGTGCTCGAAGAGTTAATCTTTATTTTCGCAAACAGAAAGGATACCCTTTCCGCTTTATCTGTCACCCACAAAAGCGAAGATAGGTTCTCGTGTTTCAGGATTTCCTAAGTCTTTTTCCTCTCATTTCAATTCAATGAAGCCTCTGGCAATGCAAGGCCTTTCTTTTTTTGTTGTCTGTGCTATATTCTAGTGTAGGTATATTTTGTCGCTTTACGTTACGAGATAGCTAGCTAGCTTTTTCCACCGTTGGGGTCGTGTTCTCGAGTGACATCGAACATTCAATTTATCACTCTAGTCTTCGTAGGAAGAGGATGCTTATGCTCTCGAAATGTTCAGCTTTTAGCTCGAAAGGGTCATCATTGTGGCTATATATGTATATAGTTTTACCTCATCGTACATTTGAATCTGGGTACTGCGGTAACAAAATAAAATCGTTTGAATCCGCAGCACCCAAAGCTATACAATCGATGGAAGGCTGCTTGAACATTTTCTCAAGTGTTCTATATTTTTTTGGATTTTGTTATGTTAATTTTTCTGACCACAACGATTTTTGTCGACTTTCCGTGCAATTTTTGTATTTGTACTATATTTGTAATGCAGATTACGAATACGCCATTACTTCAATATCCCTAATCTCTATGATATCCCAAATTAACTAACCCATTTTTGGTTCAGTTTTGATTGATCTGGGCATTTGAACATCTTTTAGTCAATAGATGAAATATTTTTTTCAGAAAAAAAACAGTTTTCTGCTGTTTGATAATAATAACAACAACTTTTGGATTTTCATCGATTTGACCATTCGATCTTTTGTCACCGTGTGCGAATTTGAAAACGGTCTGGTTGGCAAATTAGCCGGTCAAAGTACTGATAATGTGTCCGTCGCGAGTTTTGGTGGTGATTCTGTGGTCGACGTTGCCGTGAATCAGCAAGTTTACGGCTTACAAAAGTCATCGTCTGTTGGTCAGTCTAATGCCGCGGATACACTTGTATGGCAAACTTTAAACATGAGCATTATTTATATAATAAATTATGAACACATCCCTGGTTTGGTTCTGATTTCGGCGTTGGTCGCGAGTTGATTCGGCCAGTGAGAAGCTGGCGTCGCGAGTGATTGGTGATGGAAAGTGGATGCAGTCCTTTTTTTCTCTGCTGAGTGTAATTCGTGGTTGATGAGGTTTGCTCTGCTGTGTGAGAACCGAAAGGCGACAGTGCTGTTTTTAACACCGGTTGAAGAAGTAGCGGCAGCATATCTATTGGAGTTCTTCGAAATCATCGTGATGTCATGGATTCCTTTGCAACTTATCGGGTGAGATCTTTCCTTTATTTTCTCGTAATCCCATTTTATTGTTAGTCATGTTAGTTATACATCACACTTTACACTTACATTTACATCCTTACATTATTAGTAATTAGAGATAAAAATATATATTTGCTTAATATAACCTTGAAATTTTAGTGTTACATCCACTTGATATTGTGAGCTGAGGAAACATAGAGCTGCATCTTATTATAAGTAAAATAATTATTATTTTCATTGCAGAATATCTACTTTTTTATCTATATACATTAATATTCATTATTTCATATTTAATGTTTCGATATATTTCATTTCTCCATTACATATATTTTCATTATACATATAAATAAATACTGGGTTGGGAGGGAGCATCAGGGTATCATTTGACTTGGGACTGGACGATGGAGTGGTATGACAACCGGAGTCTAGGAGGGAATAAACACTATCATTTTCTTTATCCTACCGATTCGATTGTGGTGGTGTGAATTCTACTTCAACAGTTTCAGTGAGATTGACGCGCCCTTCTTTACAAACCATCCTGTAGGAAGCTTAATAAGTATTGCGAATTGTGTTATTCGATTTGTCGGATCGTATCGTTGGAAGAAGATTCTTAAATTCCCGTGGATTTCGTGTAAGTGTTTCTGCTTACGGGTCCGCACCTCCGTTTTGGCCCTTCATACAGCGATATTGTGAATTCAGATCGGTAGCTCAAATTGATCTTGCTATTAAGTGGAGCTGCATACAAGACAAGATCTTTGAAGGGATGGTGGCTACCTTACATACATACATACATTTGACCATTCGATCTTTTGTTTTTTTCGATTTGGACTAGAATTTGGAATGACTTATGGGTTAAGGACAAAACTTCTTAAACTTCAAATCTCGATAAAAAAAAGTTTTACTGAGATTTCAGCAAACATTTCATTTGTTTGCTGATATTCAGGTAAGCATTATCCGTGACTCAGCAATCAAATGTCATTTTTGCTGAAATCTCAGTGTATTTTATTTTTGCCGAGATTTGCACAGCCGAGCTCGTTAGAAAAAACTAAGTGTGTATGTCTCTTTTGACCTTAGGTTCTCCGAAGTTTTGTCCTTAACCCAGAAGTCATTTTCTTTGATTTAATAAAAGCATCAATCACTGGTTTCCGGCTGTTGAGCACATGACAGTTTTTTTAGATCCCTGGAAGTCGCCATCTTGAATTCCAAACTTACTACAAACATCGATTTCTAACCTGTAAACGATGTCCCTGTTCCAACATACCAATGTTGGAGAGTATTTTAAAGTATTTTTAAAACCGGAAATCAACATCATGGATTTTGAAATGGCCTACAACATCGATTTCCAGCCTCCAAACGTCGTCTCCGTTCCGGAAAATACAGATACTTTGGAGTATTTTAAAGTTTTCCGAGAACAGGAACTCGCCATCTTCGATTTCAAAATGGGGTTAAATATCGATTTACTTTCTTGTTCCGAAAATATCCACATTGTTAGGTATTTCAGGTATTTTCTAAAACCGGATATACCGGATAAATCTTGGATATCAAAAAGGCGAAAATCATTGATTTCCAGCCTTTGTAAGTCACCCTTGTTAAAAAACATATTGTGAGTACTTTGTGACAGTTTTTCTAAAACTTAGAACCACCGCCAATGAACAATTTCCGGTCTCTAATGGTTGTTTCCATTTCGAAAACACCCATATTGTTGGGCATTTGAAAGTTTTCTTAAGCCGAAAGACGCCATCTTTGATCTTAGAAAACCAGATGCAACCATCTTGGATTCCAAAATGGCGTAAATCATCAATTTCATTAACAATAATAAATCATCACAAACTGGAAGTCACCACCATAGATTTTATAAAACCGGAAGTTACCATTTTTGATGCACAACGTTTCCGATCTTGAAATACCCCAATTGTAGAATATTCATAAGTATTTTTTTTCAAAAATCGGAAGTTGCCATCTTGGCTTTAAAAAATAGGAAGCCACTATATTGGATTTCAAAATTCAGAATTCTCTCACTACGCAGCGCTATTGTGCACATGTACTTCCTGTGTATGTTGTAAAAGCTGTAAAAGTGCCAAATACCCTGGCGATTTCAACCTTGGCACTGTATCGTGGCTTAGCGATGCTCACGGCTTCTTCTTTCCTGACAATTCCCGTTCATCGTTCAGACCGGCTTCTCTCTCCTTGCTTGACGCGTATTCAACCGCAAGGCTTCAGCAAGTGAATGGCGTTCTGAATGCAAACAACCGTTTGCTCGATCTGTGCTTTAGTCGTCTCAAAGCTAATCCTAAGGAATTCTGGCGATATGTGAACGAGCAACGGAAAGAAACGGGATTGCCGTCCAATATGACTGATGGCGTTACTGATGCCAACTCCGTCGCAGATATCGCCAATATGTTTCGCACACAATTCAGCAGCGTTTTTTCAGACGAAGTTCTTGATGCTCAGGAAATTGCTGCTGCCACGAGTAATGTCCCTCGTACGTCGGTGTTTGGTTCTCCATTCACCATCCACAGCGACATGGTGATTTCAGCCGGGAAACCGATGAAAACATCAACAGGATCTGGTCCAGATGGCATTCCCTCATTAGTACTGAAACGTTGCTTAGACACTCTTTCAGAGCCCTTAGCTAAGGTCTTCAACTTGTCAATGACCTCCGGAGTTTTTCCAGAATGTTGGAAGGATTCGTTTGTTTTCCCTGTTCACAAAAAAGGATGCAAGCAGACTGTCGCCAATTACCGCGGAATAGCTGCATTGAGTGCTATCTCCAAACTATTCGAGCTAATTGTCCTGGAAAAGTTGGTTCAAGACTGCTCGTACAGTATTTCTCAGGATCAACACGGCTTCAAGCCTAAGCGCTCGACGACAACTAATCTAACTGTTTTTACATCGTTCATTATTCGTGAGATTGAACGTGGCCATCAAGTTGACGCCATATACACCGACCTCTCTGCAGCTTTCGATAGAGTGAACCATGAAATTACCATCTCTAAATATGACAAAATGGGTGTTCATGGGAGTCTACTTACCTGGCTTCGCTCCTATCTGACTGGCAGATCTATGACTGTTAAGATCGGTGACTACGCTTCTCCACCCTTCATTGTTACATCTGGTGTTCCTCAAGGCAGCCACCTGGGGCCATTGCTTTTCCTGTTGTATATGAACGACGTGAACTTGATCCTCAAATGCCTTAAACTCTCGTACGCCGACGACATGAAGCTCTACTACGTAATAAAAGGGCCTCAAGACGCTCATTTCCAAGAACTTGAAGTCTTTCATGATTGGTGCCGGATAAACAGGATGTCTTTAAATGTGTCCAAGTACTCGGTCATCTCCTTTGGCCGTAAACGGGCGATGCATTTCCACGATTACACCTTAAGAGGAATAAGCTTGAAACGCGAATCGACTGTCAAGGACTTGGGAGTCATGCTCGATTGCAAATTAACGTTCAAGGATCACATTGCTTATGTTGTATCTAAAGCTTCATCGCAGCTAGGATTTTTATTCCGTTTCGCCAAAAGCTTCAAGGACGTGTATTGCCTGAAGGCTTTATACTGTTCCCTGGTTCGACCTATACTGGAATACTCTGTCGTTGTTTGGTCGCCATTCTATCAGAATGCCATCCATAGAATTGAAGCTGTTCAGCGAAAATTTATTCGCTTTGCGTTGCGACACCTTCGTTGGCGCGACCCGCGTAACTTGCCGAGCTATGAAAGTCGCTGTAACCTCATCGACCTGGAGCTCTTGGAAGGAAGGCGTAATGTGGCGAAGGCTTGTTTCGTTGCGGATCTTCTGCAAGGGAACGTCGACTGCTCCACACTTCTCAGTCTTCTTGACATCAACACTCAACGACGGGACCTCCGGCTGCATGCGTTCTTCAACAACCGGCGTTCGAGGACCAACTATGGCGTACACGAACCAATGTTGAGTATGTGCCGCGTTTTCAATAGTTGTTATTATGGGTTCGATTTTAATGTGTCACGCGAGAAAAATAAGCGTAGCTTTAAGAGATGTTTGCGTTAATTTTGTGTTTGAAGCAGTTTTGATGTTTAGATATAGAAAATTGTCATTAGGGTAACTATTTTATCTGTTGACAAGTAGAAATAAATACCCCACAATATGGATATTTCCGAAACGGGGACGATGTGTAGGGGACAGAAATAAATTATTGACGCCATTTTGGAATCCAATATGGCGACTTCCGGATCATGAAAAAGTGCCAAATACCCAACAATACACTCCCCCCCCCGGAGAGTGCGAGTAATACGTACCGCGTAAATCGAATTCACGTAAATGGAGTACATGTATAGCATATGGGATTTGACCTAATTGGGACCAACATGGAATATCTCGCGATCCTGGACATATAGAAGGTTACTGTCTCCGGCAAAGTTGTTAAGTGGATCAAAACCTAAAAAATAGTGAGAAAATTGCGAACTTCTGTCCACCAACCATCAGGTCTGGATCCACTGAACAACTTCCCCGAAGACAGCAACTTTCTAGATGGCAAGGATTTCAAGTTATAACGTAAACTAGGGAATCACAAATTCAAGCACACTAGCGTCGCGTAGTCAGAAAATTCGAAACTTCTGTTCACCAACAATTAGGTCTTCATCCACTGAACAACTTCACCCAAGATAGCAACTTTCTAGATGGCAAGGATTTCAAGTTATAACGTAAACAATCACAAATTCAAGCACACTAGCGCCACGTAGTGAGAAAATTTCGAACTTCTGTCCACCAACCATTAGGTCTTGATCTATTGAACTACTTTGCCCCAGATAGCAACTTCCTAGATGGCAAGGATTTCAAGATATGACATAAACAAGGAAATCATTAATACATGCACACTAGCGCCGTGTAGTTAAAACATTCCAAACTTCTGTCCACCAACCATTAGGTCTTGATTTACTGAACAACTTTGCCTAAGACAGCAACTTCCTAGATGGCAAAGATTTCAAGCTTTGGCATAAACAAGGAAATCACTAATACATGCACACTTGCGCCATGTAGTGAGAAAATTCCGAACTTCTGTCCACCAACCATTAAGTCTTGGTTTACTGAACAACTTTGCCGACAGTAACCTTCTATACGTTCATGATCGCGAGATATTCCATGTTGGCCCCTATTAGGTCAAATCCCATATGCTACGTGTACTCCATTTACTCATTCGAGGCCAACGTAAATGGAATTCGTGTAGACCGAGTTCGCGTTCTTCGGGGGGAGAGTGTATTGGTATTTTCGGAATAGAGGCGACGTCTGGACGCCATTTCGGAATAAAAGATGGCGATTTCCGGTTTGTGAAAAAGTGTAAAATATCCTACAATATGTGTATTTTGAGAAAATATAGAGGCCACAAATGGATGATGATGCCATTTTAGAATCCAAGATGGCAACTTCCGTTTTTTTTTTTCTGAAGTGATATCATTCATCTATTTCCGGCCTCTACCCGTCATCCCCGGTCTGAAAACATCTATATTGTGTGGTATTTGGACACTTTTCACCTACCGGAAGTATTCATATTGGATTCCAATATGGCACCAATTAGGGAACTCTAAGACCAGAAGGTTCCGAAGAAACATGCTCAACTTTTTGGCTCAGCTCTGGTACTATCTTCGGTCCCAAGCTAATCGATGCACCCATTGAAACATAGGAAAATCCATGAACCTCTCATTTTATATGTCAAACTTTCATGGCGAATCAAAACAAACATAGTGTAGTACTAGAATTTTGAGTGGAATATGGTACCAGCAATCAATAAGAAACTAACGATTTTAAATTGGCTCACTGCTTGACTAGCCTATTGGTCCCAAGCAAACGATTAACGTACCCCATTCTAGTCAAAATTCTAGTACTACGCTATGTTTGTTTTGATTCGCTATGAATGTATGACAGATAAAATGAGGGGTTAGTGGATTTTTCTATGTTTCGAGGGGTGAATCGATTAGCTTGGTACCGAAGAGAGTACCAGAGCTGAGCTAAAACGTTGAGCACGTTTCTTCGGGACCTTCTAGTCTTAGAGTTACCTCTATGATGGTACGTTAATCGATTTGCTTGGGACCAATAGGCTAGTCAAGCAGTGAGCCAATTTAAAATCGTTAGTTTCCACCGGTTGGTTATACGGCTTACTGAATTTGCCGCACCCACAGATCGCCTGCCACACTAAGTACTTCTGGGAAAATTTGTCGACCTTCTTCTTCCGGAACTTTTCCGGAACATCCAGGCGACGAAAAACTCCAGGCCGGGGATCTGCTTGGCGTCCGCTTTAATGTACGTCTCGTCATCCATTACGATGCATTTCGGTTGCACCAACCACTCGCAGTACAGCTTCCTGGCGCGGGATTTGGCCACCGTATTCTGTTTATCGGTTCGGTTAGGCGCTTTCCTTACCTTGAAGACATGAAGTCCGGCCCGCTTCATTGACCTTCTTGGCCACGTCCCGAATCGAAAGGTTCGGATTGAGCTTGAAGTAATCCCTCACCTTCCTTGCGTTCACGGGGTCGGTCGTCTTCGCTTTTCGCGCTTTTCGCGCTTTTCGCTTTCGCGCTGTCAGCTCGCCGCTGGGTCTTCTGGGTCTCCTTGAACGATTTTACCACACGGGACACGGTCGAATTGTCGATTCCAAACTGTTTCGTAATCCACCTGTGGGACTGGTAAGGATTTTCCACGACCGCTTCCATAATTTTTTGTCGAAGCATTTCTTGCTTGGAAGCCATCTCGATAACTACTTAACAGATTGTGACAAGATTTTGCACATGTAAACATTACACTCTAAACTAGTTTTCCTCAAAATTTCATCAATTTTTACACAAAAGAAAGTGTTGCATTTTTTCGAGTACAATCTTTATATGATTAATTGATCGCGTTTCCACCGTAGACCTTTATTCGTATCCCTTCCCCACGTGAATGAACATCGAATTGCAACTGACGTCATTTGTAGCACCCTTCGTCAATAATAATACAATCATCGCTCATTGTCATTGTCTTGTATTGTATACACATGTATCTGGGATAAAATTTCTCATGTGGGTTGGGGAAATTGCCCCAGGCTTATCTATTTTGTTCTATATTCTGCAAACCGAAAAATAGCGAGATAGACTGTTCGATGCAACTAATGGTCTGTAGTATGATTTGATTTTTATTCCGAATCCACTGTTTCTTCTCGTATTTATTTCTGTCCTTTAGCTCCTAATGGTGGTCCACTTCAAGGAGCACTGCAATACCTACGGAAGCCTGGCCGCTTACATAATTGCATTCATGGTGCGGCTGTCCGGCGGAGAGTCGATGCTCGGACTGCCAGCGTTGATCCAATATCCCGGCTACGTCGAGGAGACCGCCACACAGATGTTCCCCTTCCGCACAATGGCAATGATTATGAGTCTGGTCACGCTGATAGGCGTCTCCTGGTGGACAAAGTGAGTGTGATTGATTCAATTTTGTCTGTTTATATATTCGGGGGAGGAGGACGGGTTACGAACTTGAAATATCATGAATATTCTCTTTTTTTCTATTTAACAGATGGGTCTTCGAAACTGGACGCTTGGCACCAAAGTATGATTATTTCCGCTGTGTGGTTAACATTCCGGAGGAATTGCATCGGGTTGGAGAGCCGTCCGATTCAGGCGAACAGGTGAGTTTATCCAACAATACTGCTGCATTTATCAAACTATCGTTAGATATTGTCTAATAGTCTCTAGCGTTTTTGAAAAACCTTTGATGTACAAATGTTGCTGTTGACAGCAAGGGGCAATCAACTCTGCACACTGTGCCGAAACACTGTTCGGCTCATTAAGGCACACTTTGACAAGTAGGACATAAACAATATAATATAAAACGGCATCACTGCTTCATTTTGCCAATCGTTTCTAAGGTTTACTACTCGGGTCCATATTTTGTTTACTCACAAATGAAACTAGTGAGAGAATGTCATACATAAAACTGGATGATAAATTCTAACGGCCACACCAACAATTTTATCAATATCAAGCAAATGGTACCCGACTATACAACGGGGATGGCAGAACACCTACACTATGCTGTTATTCGTACGAAAAGAAGAGTACCATGCATCTTGCGAAGATCGGATTCAATTGTGGAACGATGAGTATCGAGCATGTATAGCTTGATGAATCTTCATATTCAGTATTGGAAAAGTTCACCAAAATGCACTAGGACTCGTGAAATTTTTCCTTGTGAATTTCGTGAAATATCGTGAACTTTTTCCAATGCTGCTGCTTTATTCCAGAACACACTTCTTATTTCTGAACATAACATTTGATACTGTCGTGTGTATCCAATCTCGAAGCGTATAACGAAAGATCAGAGCAGGATCTTCTGCGAGAGTTGAGGTACATAAACAATTTTGTTATGCATAATGAACAAAAAAAAAAGAAAAAAGAAAACAAGCTTATCATAGGGGGCGGCCAAATTTGACCCCCGGTCTTGCCGAGTATCTTCGGGATGGAAATTTTCACATTTTCTCCTGCGTTTTTCCTCGGATATTCTTGTCAGTCATTAGTCTTAATTGGTGTGGACTTTGATAGGATAACCACAGGTCTTTATAGAATATTGAAAGGTGTATACCCAAGTAACATTGCAAGTTTTATCGAGGTTTTAAAGCATGCTACAAGTCTAAATCACGGTCTTCAGAACCCTTATAAAACCAAAATTTTTACTTGGGATCTGTAATGCTATATGCTCTTGAATCACGAATCGAATCGCCTACGTTTGTCGTCTGTGTGGCGTTGACTGAATTGGGCGGAATCTTCTCGAGTTCTATACAGATCTACAGGCGCCGGATAAAGCGCTTCCGCTGAAGTCTATGGTGGCTGAGAATTCTATTTTCAAATCATGACAGTTGTTGTAGGGGAAGGCATCATAATCAGCGATACGATAGACTTGGGTTATATCTTTGCAAACAATCTTTGTAAACAAAATTACAAAAGTCCACAGAGCATAGAAGAAATAGTGCGAAATAGGTAAGTGAAGCCATGGTCATCAAAAGAGGAAATTGATGAAGAGAATTGACTTTCACCCCTCTATTACTAAGCCCCTCAATTCAGTCGTCGTCAAAGCAATGAAAACTAGCATCGCACCGCTTTTGGTTCTTGGGTTACACTTGCTGGTTGCAATTCTGCTGTTTGACATTTTCGAAGGACCACCAAAAACCATGAAATTGCACTATTTTCTAGGGATGCCTAAAAGTGAAATTATTCGATTAACGATTAATCGTAAAGATTTATCCAGCTATTCGATTAAATATTTATCCCTTCTTATTTCTATTCTTTTGATTTAGCGCAGTAGAGAAAACAAATAAAATTACTAATTTATCTGAACAGGCATAAAGAAGAATCATGAACATAAAATTGCCGAAAAAAGTGTTGAGCGTCTTTCTGCTAAAGGCTAATATTTACCGACTTGTTGAGAGAAGGAGTTTAACGAGAAAAACTAAAAAGGGGAGGAGCTTTATCTGGGTGGACACTGATATTCTGCGGCCTTCCAACCTGTCGCAGACACCAGTTTAACCCATCAGCAGACGGGCCGAGATTCTTGCGAGTGCCCAATCATTGATTGTCCGGTCTGGTTTGCTGATCCAGCTGCCTACCCGTGATCATCATCTTCCAAAGGCTTTAGGCCTGTACTACCATCGGTCCTTTACAGGGCCACAAAGATTTTCCAAAAGAGTTAAATGTCCCTACTTAAATTCATATCAAAAGGTTCTTTTCAGGGCAATTATAATCCTATTAAAGAGTATAAACAGAGAGAACCCCGGTAAAATTCCTATTCCTTCTCAAAACACAAGCTCCTGCTGCAGTTAACAAATAACATTTATTATATAAGACTACGTAGTCCTACGTCACCACTGCGTACAACGCTACAGGGCTGTTCCGAATGAACTGCTTCATAGAATCGCAGTTGCATTCGAAACGCAAGAAAATTTCTGCTTTTCCCAATGTCTAATCTTCCGCCAGCGTTGCCAGATTGTTTTAAAGCTTATCGGTATCAGATCAGATCAGATCAGATCAGATCAGATTGACCGCCCACGGTTGCTGCTCTGTTATTACCAGATCAGCTGCAATTACACAGAGAACCAACAGATGATGTTTTGGGACTAACATTCATCCTCAATGTGTAAGAACTGGAGATCTAATATTTAGCAATACCAGCGCCGGCCGTGTCCGAATACAGGTCAACTAGGGAATGGGAAGGAATGTGTTGACGTGGTACTCGCTGTGAAGGAAACCGAGTAATCCTCTGCGCTTCCACGAGAAATCACTGGGATGTTGGATGTGGGGAAAGGTTGCACGCACACGCAGGGATCGTTTTTGGTAGAGCGATTATAATACACAAACACACACACACACACACACACACACACACACACACACACACACACACACACACACACACACACACACACACACACACACACACACACACACACACACGCGCGCGCGCGCACTCATCCAATTTCTATTTTTAGATCAGGGCCCACACTGTGGTAAGTGATGCGAACGGTGTTAAAGAAGAATTTGTTTTCATTAAAATCTAGTGGGTATAGAATAAGGCAAAGTGAAAAATTGCAAGGAAGGGGACGGGCCTGGGATTGAACTCCCGACCTTCTGCTCAGTAAGCAGAAACGGTAACCACTGAGCTACCGAGCCTCGTCATTAAAGCTTATCGGTATCGAAGGTATTAAAAAATCGGTATTTATCGGTATTTACTATTTAATTAATCTTATACACTAATAAAAATTCAATGATTATTCTTATGTGTCCTACACATGAATTTTTGCAATGTGATAAACAAATTATATATATATATGGATCGGACACATACTTCTTATTTGTCCATATAAAATTCATGAGTAACCACACATACTATTCATTTGACTCATACATTTCATGTGTACTTCTGAGTGGATTCTGTTTATGTGATGACACATAAAAATCATGTGGAATTTGTCATGGAAATTCGCCAATAAAAATGTGTCAAATTTTATGAGTGTATGTATGCAATTTTTAAAAGCAAAATTTTTAACAATAGTGATGACTGGGACTTGAGAGGAATTGATTTGTTTAACGGCTTTCTCAGTGTTAAAACACTCTTTATTTTTTTAATTTAATTTCTTAAATTATCGTTGTCCTCAAATGGTGATCGAAATTGTCACCAAGTAGTTTTTTCAATTAAATATCATTAAATGTGGAAAATCAGCCACAACAACAACTAAACTATAGACAATAACGAAAAACAATATTTTCCCTTAAAAAAAGCTATAACCCATGGCCGAAATGTCCGGCAGATTACATCGTAGTCGTTGCAGTGTTTAAGACTGAGAAAGTCGTTAATCAAAGCAAAAATTTAAGCTTTTGAACTATGATTGGAAAATTCTGCAAGAAAACTCCGGGGAATGTTTGAATTAGCTTCTGAATAGAGCTGAAAAAACATCCAAAGAAACACGAAAGAAGCTCTCTTGGATGAAGTTCGACAAAAGCTGGAAAAAACATCCAGGAAACGTCCAAGACTCGAATTGAGAAACTTGTGCCGAAAACTTACATAAACTAACGGGAAAAAAAATCGGATGTCACATGCAAAGGAAGCCAGAAAAGTTTCGGAAACCCAAAGTAGATTTCCAGAAGTAGGGGGGAGAGGTAGCTCATCGATTCTTCCGGTTCGCCTCCTAGCATCGTGCTATAAGGTACCAGGCGATAACCAGGGTAGTTGATCGATAGCTCGATGACGTCATTTCGTTGGCGTCTGCAATGGGAAATTCTCATAGCATGCGTTGACGATGGGACGTTGTCGAGTTGTTGAATAGCAACTATCGTGGTAACTCACCGATTACCTGTCGATTTGCCAAATTTGGAAAGACGTCTGCATTGAATTGTCTCATATAATAATATTCCGCCCACTATATCACAAGAAATTGCGAGTAGCTGAGTGGAATGGAGATAAGTTAAGCATTGGGTACAGGACCAAGTCTCCCCTGGGTGGTGCCAAAAGATGAGCGCAATAGAATCATCAAGTTGCCATAAGGCACGGATGAGACTATTGCATGGCTGGGTAGTCAAAGTCTTCCATTCGTTAGTCATTTCAGGTAAACTAGAACAGGTTTAGGTGGGCGTTGGCCAGATTTGGATTTTCAGATGTAATCCTGGATATTTAGGACCCTGTCATTGAACGTCGCGTGAAAGTGGAACTTAATGAAGGCCTAAGTACTTTTTCGTAGTTTTTAGTTTTCGGATTTGAAAGATCGTCGGTTACAGTCCCTCCCCATGGACATGGAGGTTGACGATACTGAAGCAAAGGGTTATGTTTAATTTCTTTATATTTGCAACGATGATGATTTCCTATAGTGACACATATCACCTTCTTAATGCTTCAGTATGCCTCAAACGATTAATTCTTGGTTGTTAATAGAACTTCCTTGATGAAATGGGCTGCTTCATGCAGACTGAGCAATTCTGATTATAGTATCAGATTTGTTCTGTATACGGAGGAACTGGGAGGGCTTATTAGAAACTTCTCACCAATAAAGTAATGATTTTCTAGTAAATTTTTCATTTAATTATATTAATACTTTATTTTTAGCATACGATACAAAAGTGCTCGTTTTTGCGTAAAATAATC